GTATAACAGAGAGATAACCAAAATAAGAATGGCAGCAACATTTAAAAAAAAAAAACAAAAACACACACACAACACACTAAGAACAAACCTCTAGAGGATATCAGGTAGAAAGCAATATTCAAACCCCAGTAAAACCTGGACATTTTCTTCTCCCCAAAAAGCCAGCCATAGCACCTTCCTCCAGTTTACTAGATCCCTGGTCCATAAAGTTTGAGCCATTACTATCCCAAAGCAGTGTCTGAATCTTATTTTTTTAAAGATCTGTTTTGCAGACTCCCTTGCACCAGCTTCCCTAAAGTAAAAATATCCTACAAACCAACCACCTCCTCCAAAGCAGCTCCTTTGCCTGATGCCTCGACGCATGAAGAGTCACAAGCACGAGATTAAGTCATAGCCTGGCAAGGCTCAAGACTGCTCAGGTATGCCACAAAGCCCAACCTGACCCACAGATTGTACTACTGAGATCCATCATTTTATGAGCAGCTACAACATTCTCCACTTCAGCACTGACCAAACAGGCAGCAATGGCACTGTAACTTCATCCATGTAACTTCATCCAGCCTTTGTCTGGACACTTTATTTGAAAGCTGCTTGGAGGGATTCCATGCTTTTGTATCACTGTAAATAGCAAACAAATCTACAGCTTAACATTCCTTGAATTCAAATACTAATACACACCTTATTTAAATCAGTTCACCTTTGCTTGTTCCAAAACTAAGCACCTACTGATACATGTGATACAGTGTAAAAGAAAAAAAATGCACCATTGTGTTAAGAATTATTTAAAAACAACTCATTAAACATGATAAACAGGTAACGGCTAGAAAAACAAATACTCAGAGCAAATACTGTTGCCCATTAAGAGATAAAGTTGGGAATTCTTATTTAGTTTTTTTTTTTCCCCCCCAGAGATACAGCGTTCATGTTCAAGTCACTCAGGCTCAGCACCTTCAGTAAATGTATGTAACCTAACCCTCACTGGAATCAATGTGTCCTTTTGTCTCTAATTTTATTCATCTGTAAGATGAACAGTATTTGTTACAATTTGTCAGATGCTACAGAATCTACTAGAGCCACACTCCTAAATTCTTTAAAAGGGAATATTAATGTTTTACAGCTATTAATATCATAAATGTAAATTAGTAGCTACTTCAACTTCCATTTAAAATACCAGTAAACTAATGATTTAAAAGGTTTGTTTTTCATATGTATCCAAACAGTTCCTGAAACATATAATTTTCATAATTACTTAAATTCAAAAGCTGTCAATATTAGATACTAAACAAAGGTGTTTTCTGCCAAAAGAGACATATTTAAGAGGAAGACCTAAATTTGTTTTAATATACCCTCAATACACATGCACCACCTCCTCAGTGAATATCATTTGCTGAAAAGGAACGAGTCAATGAGACATATGATCTAAGGTCTTCAAAGCTGCCTGGGAGAGTAAAACTCCAGTTGATTTCAACGACAGCTGCGGGCCACAATCCCTGATGGCAGGCTTTGAAAAATCCCAGCTTACAGATCAATTGGCAGTGAAACTCTCATTCTCGGAGAAGTCTCCTGGATCTTCCTAAACGTGTTACGTGCCTGTAATGCAGTAACAACATTCTGAGATGGATGACACTGAGGCACTACAGAACTAATACAGAAACAACTGACCACAATTGACCTATGAATATGTACTTTCCCGTTCAATTCCTTACTATTCACTGAAGACACTACAGTAACCTGGCTGAGTCCAGCGGTAGCTTTTTTGTGCATATTGCACTGCCGTATTGTTTCTGTCAATCATTCAGTTTTACTATATGCTGCAAGTAAAGGCTTGAATTGCATTTAAAATGAAATTAAGTCAATAAAAGAAACATACAGCAAAGGGCCAGGGAAAAAATGGCAGCTAAGCACACCGTAGAGTATATCCCAGCAGAAAATACAAATAGTTGGCGGGTGCCATACGGATGGCCCTCCAGTCAAGGCAAAAGAAACAGACTGGGCAACACTAGGAAGAGTTTTATAAGGGAGCAAAGCTAGCCACTACACTATTTTGGAAGATAAAATATCAATATAATTTTTGATGTTTTTCTTCCAGGCAAACACTCCACATGCAGTTGAGGGGCTCCTATGCCACTGAGTGACAGGGAGATAGTTCATACAATGGTCACTAGGACAAGAGCTGTCTCTAAGAGGTAGATTCTGCTAAGCTGTGACCCATGCTATGAATGCTGTATTGCAGTAATTTTCACACAATTTACCATCCAGGAGGTCAAAGAAGTAACAGATTCAGCATACATCCCAAGCCCAAAAGCTTCTACACACTATCAGAAAATAAACTACCAGGAGCCCTGCTGAGAATCACAAAACTTAAAAAAAAAAAAAAACCTTAAAAAAAAGTTTTAAAAGATTAAACACTCTTCACAGACACAGCATCATCTACACTCTCACAGAAGCTGTTTAGGTTACTTTAGGAAAAAAAAAAAAACAGAAAATGAAAAGGTGATGCGCTCTATACTATTCAACATCAAGCTGGTAAGAAAGGGTAGTTGGTAAGAAAGGGAGTCTTATCTTACGCAACAAGAGTTGGTAAGAGAGGAAAGAAAGGAACAGGATTAAAAATTCACTATTAAGGAGGAAAGATCTTAGGATCTCTTACTAAGTACAGGTGCATATTTAACTTACTGGGATATCTAAAAGTTTATTTTTTGTTAGGTTTTGGAATACGTTTGCTTTTTTAAATACTTTGTCCTGTTAAAAAGAAGATTACTTTTACAGCTGCTGTAAAGTAGAACTGAGCAATTTTACAAGGTGGATAAAGAACTGGCTTTTCACTTCCTACTCCTAGATTGTGTTTAATATCCTGAATTATTCTCCCAACCACATAAAATATCAGATAGTCTATCAGGAAGCCACCACACTCACACTGCACTGCAATCTCCTTAGCAAAATCTACACAAATACATTCTCCCACATTATCAGATACTAAAACTGCCTGCTGCTTACCACTGTAACGTCTTGTTTCTCCTGAATTTGAGTTTCCAGTTGAAAGCAAAGAAAACTACTCTCTCCTGTACTGTAGTACAACTTCTCCATTTCAAGAAGCCAAGCAATTCAGAGCAGAGAATTGTCATATTCCCATACAGAGGAGCCAAATCCAGGGCAAGCAGAATGACTGCTAAACGTTTAGAGAGACCTGGACCGGCAGGTGGAGGAGGAACAGCGATGGTGACGTTAATCTGACGGCTTCATACTTATGTATCAAGACATGACTGCAATTATTTTTACTAGAACCCTGGTTCATTCAGATTGCAAAATGAGCCTGCTCTGAGGACTCTGCAGGGAAGAGGGTTACAGTCTGCAGATCCCCTCCTCCTGCTTACTAAACAGGTAATCTGTGGCACTGAATGAGTTCAGGCATCTGAAAGATCCCCTGGAGAAATGGATTCTCTGCTACGTAACTCCTGTGACAACAGTTACTGTGTTCCCCTTTTCTGGTGTCCCCGTTGAAGAACCTGAGACCTGATCTGCAGAAGTGCTGCCACCCAGGTCGAGTGGGAACTGCAATCTGAAGTGATGACATGTCACAGCGTGCTAAGTGTTCTACAAAAAAAATCTAGAACATAGAAGTTGCAGCTTTAGCATCCAAAATTAATGGAACTTAATCCCTCTGCCTTGGCTCCCCAGTGTCAAATGAGTATAATACCAGATCCTTGTTCTGCTTAAGCAGTCTGAAAAGAATTTAATGTCTATAAAATGCTTCTACACTGATAGAAGAATGAGGTAATTAATAATTCTGCCTCGAGAGAAGGCTTTCATTAGCTTCCATGTGTAGACAGCGGGGCTTCATGCTAAAACACAACTGTCAGTATCAAGAGATGTTCGGAAGGCAGACAATTACAGGCACCACAGAGGAAGAGTGCAAGACAGTTATGGCCACACCACCACTGCTTTTGGTTAAGTAATAGGCACATCATGGAGACTCCTTCTTCAACCCTTTCTGTCAGCCCGCCTTAACTGGCAGCTGCCATCACTCCTACCTCACGGGAGAATATAGAGGTCTTTAGAAGAGGCAGTGAAACTGTGAGTCAACCCTGGGGAGATGATCTAAGAAATGCTGCAAAGCTAAAAAGTGCACCTTTGGGGCCACCTCACACTCACCAGTACCAACAGCGTACCGCGGAAGACGGTTTGCATGTTGGCCAGCAATCAGCTTTCACACAGTTATATTAAAAGGATTAGGAAAAGTGTGTATCTAACTGTTATTTTGATTATAGTATGCAGCCTCTGTGCAATACTGGTTGCCTAGCAACATTTCTCAATCCTTGCTGAGAGCCAGCATTCATTTCAGAGGTAGTCTTAAGGAGCAACAAAACATGACGGTAAGCAATCAGAGGATGCAATCCTACAGCACCTTCGTTCTCCATCTCAGGAGAAACCTGCTAGCTGATACGTTAATTCAGAATCTCACTTCGGGGTAAATGTACTCGTTTATCCTCAAGTAAGCAAATCATACTTCCCACAAATTACATGGTCATCGTTAATAAAAATCATATCATAAACACACGCAAGTCTTACAGGATATATGTGGTAATTAACATTTAGTTCAGATGCATTAGAGAAAAAGAATCACTTTCGCCAATTAGTAGCCAGCAGATTAAATAAGACTTTTATCAGTAAACAGCATGACTGGCTTGGAAAACAGTTACATAAAAATGACATAATAGAATAACATTGCCTGTGTCGGGGGAAGTTGTTATGAAGGCCTGAACTAAGACTATTCATAATACGACAACTAAAAACTGCCAAAAAGCTAACACCACACAAAATAAAAACCCAAAATACTTATGGTAGAATATACACACGAACAGCCACAGAACACCTCACGCAAGTGATAAACATTACATACATACTCCCAAAAGCACAAGGAAGACCGAACAATAAGCATTACATATGTACATTTTAAAGAAGCATTTGGAATACTGTCAGGAATAATGCATCATGCATACCCTCCTCTTCTGTGACGCTGTTTGTGCTTGGAGATTTTATAAGGTAGAGACCTTTCTCCCAGGTTCTCTAGGTTCCTCACAATGGCTCCTCTCTCCATAAGAGCCTCAACAGTGCGCTTCAGCACAGCTGCAGTCTCAGGCTTTAAAAAAGAAAAAGAAATGTACACAAATCTGGTTATTCTTGTTATGCAATTAGCAGCAACACATGTATTTGCACAGCTAACTGCTGGAAGAGATCGTTTATAACATGAGATAGCAAAATGGAAGCACAAGCAGATTTCCCCCTAAAAATACAGAAAGAGTGCTTTTGAAAACAAACAGCAATTCCTCTAGGAATAAAGGCAACACTAAAGCTTCCACTGATTTCCAAGCCAGGCCGCAACAGCAAAAAGAAAATAATCTATGGATTTAACTCACCTGGTATCACTCTGCCTGACCCTTGCACAGATATGAATCAGCAACAATTTTAAGCTCCCTGGATCATCAATGACAATTAATATTGCTCACCACAACATCAAAGTTAACATTGAGGTGGGGGGGAACAGTAATCTGTAGCTTGATCCACAGTCAACAGTTAGCACTTTGTGCAGTTTATATAGTCATTTCAACTGCATGGGTGTAATACACATCTGGACTCTTGGCTAAACCACTGCACATTTCATTGCTTTTACATAGCCAACACCCAAGCCTTTTTAAGACTTAAGGAACTGAAATGCAGTAATTAGTCTAACATGCAGAGATTTCGCCTCTTAGGAAAACACGTTTGAGGGACAGGCAGCCAAAAAACAGTAGGTAAAATGGATGCATCGTTTTCTTGCTTATTGCGCATCAGGGCTCTTTAGCGTGCTGAATCATTTCAGAAATGAGGCTGAACAATTATCTATGAAAATGTTAATAAAGTGCAGGCTAGAATGTTTTGAAAACAACTGCAGACTTGGTACCTTCTCAGTGACAAGAAGTATTTCAAGAAAACAAATCTCCCATAGAGAAAGGAAACTAAATGGATGTCCAACCAAACACAAAACACACTGTATGCTTTGTCCCCTGCCTCTCCCCATTTCACATCAAGATATATTCCCAAGTCTGGTGAGATGGCAACAACCATAAATGGCAAAGTAATGGAAAGCTAGCTAATTTTCAGAGTAGTTGGTATTTTGTTAAATCCGATCATCATAACAACTTCACTATCCTTTCTCAGCCAGAAGTAAACTTGGGTAGTCGTTCAATCCCCTTATGTATCAGAAGACTGAAAGTTAGTTGCCTAAACCTAAGCTAGAGACGCAAAACTTAGCTAGGGAAAAGAGCTGTTTAATGCCCAGAAAGCTTAATGGAAATTGGTGAAAAAAGGTAGTACCAGAATTTTGCAATATGCAATGCAGTCCCTACTCCGGCTTGTGAAGTTTCTCTGTCATTTTAATGAGGATACAAGGTGATATGAAAAAGTCCCCAAACACAGAACAGAGATGTTCAACATATGACATTTTGCAAGGTTGCTTGCTCTTTGAAAGGCCTGAAGTACAGACCGTCTGAAATGTTTTCTTATTCCCATGCGTTTGTTGCCCTGTGGCATTCAAGAGTCAATCATGTGACAGCATGTATTACTCCTCACCATCAGTAAGAAATTTTATTCTCCCCTCTTGCGGTTATGTAAACTGCTTGGGAAATTTATTTTCAACACAAAGTGCCTAATCAGTTACAAGGTAAGCAAAAATACCTGTTCTTTCTTCAGTATACGCGTAGACTGTGTGGTTAAACCATTACGGGGACCAGGCAAGCACGCTCACGCGTAAAGAGAAGTCACTACCCTACCAAAATTTTCCAGTGCATTGAAACTACTGTTTCTCAGAACAGACAAATACTAAAGGTATCTCTTGTCACAACGTGAAAAGTTAGGATGAAGGCATTATTAAGAGAGCTTACGAATTATACAGAATTAATTTAAATGATGTTTCAGCTTAAAATCAGGGCTACCATTATTTTCAGTTGACTTAGGTGGCTGCCTCCAATATCTCTTAATAGATTTTCCAGAATCTATTCCAAGTATTTCCATCTTCTATGCTTAGGACCTCCTTCCCCAGAAAACATCTGCAAAGCTAATTCAGCCTCCTTAAAACTCTTTTTGCCCTCCTGCCACAAAGTAAGCCATTTCCACAGATATTACAGGAATCTCAATTTCTGAGATTTCCACCCCTCCATCAAAGCTTACCCAGAACAAAAACAACATGTTCAAAAGATAAGGAGAGACCAACAAACAGATGGACAGCCAGACCTCACAACTATACAGCCCTCACTTTGCTAGAAAAATAGGATGAAATGTTCTATAAGGTCATACAGGCACCTACATATTGATGCTACAGTTGAACAAGTTAATCCTTTCACTCCCCCCTTTAAACCCATCTTCCATCTCTCAAATACTTCTGGACTTTATGGCCCTTTTTTTTTTTATTTAAAGGACAAAACATTTCTTTTTTGACTGAATACTACTCAACACTCCTAACTAGAGTCTCAGGAACAATCATAACACAAATAATAACTGAAACTGGAAAGACAAAATGAACCACCAAGTTCGTTTGCTTTCCCAGGTCTCCATTTTCTCCCTTACAAACAAAAAAACTCATGATTCCCTTCTACAATGAAGATTTAATTTCTAGAACTCTGTAGCATAAACATCCCTAGAAAGTATTTGTATCACAGTTGTGCCCAGAGGTCTTAGCCACTATCAGCACCCTCCTGTGGGAGGGTGTATTCCACTTACATTAATAAGTCTTGAAAATAAGAGACTTTCTAAAGACTCCTATGAAGGCATCAGGAGAAGAATATGTTCCACTGCATATAATTGGATCTGCAATTTTCTGCAAAGGAAATGGGCTGCTCACAAACACTACGGCTTTTCTTGAAGATGCTCACGGGTCTTTGCAATTCACTTGCCAAAGCAGAAGAGCCATCTTATACCAAGTTGGAGCACTAAAATGGTCTAGTCTTACCTTTTTACAAAAAATCTTTTTACCTTTTTCTTTTTTTCTTTTCATTTAGGAAGGAATACGCAGTACGTAATAAAATTGCAATATTTTTAGCTGCCATGATTCAGAATACACTTAATCTGAAATCAGTCAAGTAATGAGATATAAGCTGTTAATACACTGGAAAATAATAAAACTCCTACATAATTAAACGAAGTTGCATGCTAAAAATCAATGAAATATGTGCAAGAGCTATACAGTACATTAAATTTAGTCCAACGTAATATTGGAAAAAAAAAAAATCACAAATTAGTTTCTATTGGACCTGGCCTCAGAGAATGTTGTGGATTTTACTGCTTATTTTTTTAAATTAAATTGATCATTACAATTATCACCAGCAGAATTTATTACTTTAGCGCTAACCCTCCTGGAAAATATATTGCTATGGAACACATGACTATATTTCTACCCAGACTGTATTTCCAAAACTCTTTCCGGATCTGTTCAAATGATATATAAGAATGGTCTAAGAAAACTACGGCACAGACTTGGCACAGATTTCCTGATGCTGTAATTAGACATCACCCATGCCGAAGCACAGAGACAAGTAACACCTCGGAGCAACGAGGTTCCAGAATGCATGGCATAGCTGCATTCACTCTGTTTGAAGATTATTTTAAAAAATAGCATATCTGGGTGAAACGGCATATTTGGTTCCTCCTAACAAAGGCCCAATCCAACTCCCACTGAATTTGATGCAACACTATTATTAACTTACATAGCCTTTTGACAGTGGTCCAGATTTCTGTACTATCGGCTAGCATTTGCAGATACCTCCCTTATCCCGTAATTAGAAATTACGTATTATAATGATCCAGGTATGTCTTTGGTATAAATGGGAACACAGAGCACAGACGAGCAAACCCCTTAATCCTGTTGCACTGCAGATAAAAGTAGGTAGGTCACAGGAGCACTCTCTTATCACTACACAGGAATCAAAAATCCTGTTTTCATGTGATGAGGGTTACGTACACCTGCAGTGCCACCATCTATATGGACTACCATCCACAGACAGAAATGAATACTTAAAAAACACTGCAAGCCCAATGTAGTGCTGAAGAGACACAGCTTTTTGACTGCCTACGTACCCAGCTTTTCAGACAGAATTTATGAGTTGTCTAAATCTCCTTGATCTCAAGGCAGCTTTTTAAAACACCTGTAAACACACACACCTTTAAGCGTGATGCCAGTATTTCACCTTGAAAGCCTAAGTCTAGAGCTGTTCTGTAACGTTTATAAAACACCACACATTGAGTTAGCTATTGGACGACCAACTGCATACTAGCCTATAGATAGATTACTTTAAGTATCTAAAGATTAAATCTACAGATCGTAGATTTTGCAGAGAACCACAAAAGAAATAACAGCTAAAAAAAGCTGTTCAACTCTCACGTAAACACTGAGAAGAGACAATGCCCAAATTATCAGCCAGGAATATTCAACCTGTTAACTCCAAACGTTTTACAGAGCTGGCGGTTTTGACAAGGGAAGGCAAAAGCCTGGGAAATGACAAGAACGAAAGTACACCTGTGGGGTTTAAAAACACCTGCTGCACAAAGCAGATGCTGGGGAGCGGCTCAGCAAAAACGGACAATCAGAACCCACCAGGGGACCAGAAAAACTAAATTCTGTCTAGGTCACCACTGTGGGATGCTTTTCTTTAGGTGAAATAAACATGGAAAAAATTTTAAAAGCCCTTTTTCCTCTAAATGTTTTGTTAAAATTTAGTATTTTGTTTTTTAAATGGCTGCCTAGTCCCTATTTTCACGATTGGTTACAGGCTCCAAACAGAGGAAACCAAAGTGCTTGAACACAGTTTGCCCTACTACGTAAATGTAGTCAATATGTAAGATACCGAAAGCCAAGTTCTGGTCCAAGAGCAAGGTACTTTCAGGATATTTCAGCAAGGTACTTCACCACGCTTAGAAAAACAAAGGCAGACATCACGATACCTGAAGGAGTGCATATAGAAAGCCAAAATAGGAATGGGGTTATAAGACAGCAATGACATCAAATGCATTTATGGATATGGGGTTCCTACAAACAACCATCTGCCCTATCAATGCCTATTTCTGGATTGAAGGCTGAGAAAAATTTTACCTTAAGGTAAGAATTTGTTAGGAGTTCATAGTAAAGCTCAGATTTCTTCTCTTCCCATGATAGCACCATTTCTTTTTAAAAGCCTTTGGCAATAGTCCTAAAGCATATTACAGACTTTGCCAGGTAGCAAGCACTGTTCCTGTGTTGTCTTCTAGATTTATTGT